CTGCCCAAGCACAAGGACCCGAGTTCGATCCCCAGTACCAAAAAAAAAAAAAAAATTTGAGCCAAGGTCTTGCTAAGTCATTAAGTTGCCCAGGCTAGGCTCCAACTTGCGATCCTCCTGCTTCAGCCTCCCAGAGTGGTGAGATTTCAGACATGTGCCACCACACTTGGTTTCTTTCTTATAAAACCCCTTCCTTAGTAATGGAAACAGCTTTTGTACATAGGGAGGGGAGGGGACTTGAGGGGAGGGGGGACATGGGAAAAAAGGAGCAGGCTGTACCATGTACAGGTGCAAATTCCCTATGGTGTTATTATGTATGCCTAAAATGTACCAATAAATGCTGTTCTATAAAAACAAATTGGTCTTCACCAAGATTCTGTCCTCTGTGCTCTTCTGACTATATACATGCCTCCTGAGTGACCTAACCTATTTCCAAAGTTGCACAAAGACAACAGGGTCTCACCACGGCCCATGTTGGCCTCAAACTCCGGATCCTCCTGCCTCAGCCTCCCAGAGTGCTGGGATTACAGGCATATGCTACCAGGCCTGGCTTTTTCTAAGTTTTAAAACTAGCATACTTCAAACTCATATGCTTCTAACCATAGCCACTCCCTCTACCTTCCACTCTCAACCTTTTCAGTGAATGGTATTACCATTCAATTTCCTAAATCAGAAACCTAAGTTTTACCTGTTCTTACTTTCTACGGCCCAGTCACTACGACACACCTCATTCCATCCCTACTGCCAGTGTCCTGGTCATTTAGGTCTTCATCATTTCTCATCTGTCATCACTCTGCTCTACCCACATTCACACTCCCAGAGTGACCACTCTTAAAATGAGCATTTGATCCTGTTTTGGAATCATTACATATATTCTCTTTACTCCAGCCATGCAGTTACCTATCAGTCCAGGAATGTTTCATGCTGCCGAACATTCTGTTCCTTTTGCCTAAACTCTTACCCCTGTGACTATCTGGTAAATTCCTCTCTAACCTTCATGCTCTTTTAAAGGTCTCCTCTGTGAAGCATTCCAGGAAACCTTGTAAATAACTATTGCAATGATCACTTTTTATTAACTTAACTATTTACATCTCTATCTTTCATTCTAGACCTTAAGTTCTTTGCAATCAGGAACTATATTTTACTTCTGTATTACCATGTGGCAGACTGCTTGATAAAAATAGGTGGTTTGATAAATGTTGAAATGAATGAGTATCATGTATCCATCTAATCTCCCAAACAAAAATTCAAGAAGCCCCTTTCCATTGTTCCTTTTCCAGCCACAAATGCCAATTGGTTATCAAGTCCTGTTGAGCATACCCCTTCTAAAGACATCTCAAATCCATCCCTCTCCTCCCTAACCCAATGCCACACCCCTACTTCAGGATCCATTCCCCCTTACTTGAACTACATTTGCTCCCCTCCAAACCATTCTCCACACTACTGCTGGAATTTAAAAGTTTATTACAAAAATAATACATACTTGTAAAAAAATGCCATTAAAGAAATAAAAACAGTACCATCCAGTATACATACAACCACACAAACCCCCTCCCATTCATTCTAATTCCTCAGAGGTTGTCACTGTGAACAATTTAGCATACATCCTTTCAGACCTTTTCTTTTGCATATACAAGTATATATATAAACACATAAAGATACACATGCTTTTTCTTTCACAAAAATGAGATCATACATTGCTACATGCTTCAATTTATTTCATTAAATACAGAAATTTTCTAAAACATAAATCTGATCATTCCTCTAGATTTCATTTTCCATAATATAAAATTTATTCATTAGTATCAAATACAAAGCTCCTGATGATATTCTTCCTGCCAATCTCAGCCTCATCTCTAGCCATTCCAGTATTAAAAGATTGGAACCAACTAAATACTTTCTGAAACAAGGCAGATACAAACAAACAAATAAACCAACCAGGAATACACTCTGCCATTTCTTGGCTTTTTAACGTCACATGATAGTTTGCCTGGACTTTTCTATCTGGCAAGCTCCTATTTCTTCAATAATCAGCTTTAAAAATTACCTCTAGGAAGACATCCCTTACTTTTTTCAAATGTGATGAGTCCTCTGTTTTCCCCTATACTTTATATCTAGCTTTTCAATTGCACTTATCTCACAGTACTTAATGATTTATTAACGTTTTGAGTCACCCCTCCCCCAACTTGATAGTGATCTCTTTGGGTAAAAGATATGTGCCTTATTTACTTTTGCATCCAAAGGATCTGGTAGAGTGCATATCATGAAGCAGATGCTCAGTAACATATCTGTTGAGGATTTTATGATTCTAGAAACATTTATTGAGTTATCTACTTTGCACAGAACCATATCCTAAACATGAAAAGAAACAGAAGACACAGTCTTTGTCCTAAGGAACTTACCATTTCCCACAGAGGAGAGAAGAGAACACACGCACATGGCAACATATCATTTCTGACATACAGGCTGTTTCAAAGACGTATAATCACTTGCCTCAAATCCATTTAGGCCAAGGCATTGTATAAGAAAATAAATAATAAAGTTAATGGGCAGTTTGTCCAATAGGTTTAAGTGTGGCACAGAGTACACTGGAACCCAATTCTCTGTTCCATTAGGGTTCTCACCTATTCCAGCCTGCAAATTAGAAAACTGAAATGATACCATGCTTAGAAAACTTCTAATATACTAGGAGGACATAAGTTTAAATTAGTCTTTTCATAATTTCTCTTCTTTCCCCAGGGAAAAAAATATACCAAGAGCAATAAATGAAGTTAAAGGACAGCACTGGAGAAGAGTGAGCTTGTTCTCTCTTTTGGGTAGTGGTAGGGGGAAGGAGTTGCTTGGTTTTAATCAAAGGGTGACATTGTCCCAAGAAGATCAGGAAAGATGATTTATAATTTACTTATTATTAAAGGGTAAGGTTTTAATTGGTGATTTCAGGATCAGACATTGTACAAATATAAACAAATTGGGGAAAAGTGAAACACCTAGACTGGAGAACAGGGAAAGCTGACCAAGGAGGCCCAAAGGAAGCCTCATTCATCAGAGTCCAAGTCACTGTCTCCAGCAATGGAGTGGAAATCCTCACTGTCCTCCTCGTCCTCTGACAGGTGGACCTGGCTTAATACACTTGGCCCAGAGCGCTGCTCTTCCTCCTCATCTTCTTCCTCCTCTGATACCTCATACCCACCGATGCTGCTGAAGCTTGTGTCTTGGGTGTTTGACTTGGGATCAGGCTCCTCATAGCTCCCATAACTGAGAAGAGAAACATGTCATCTCTCAAGCTGACGATTCCCATTCTCAGTTGCCACCAAGGGATCAGACCATCTCACCTCCCCTGAACACTAAAGTGACTGATTCTGTCTGGACTGTTCTGCATGTCTCTGAGAGAAAAATTATCCTGTTCAAAAACATCAACTTGCTAACTTCATATACACAAGATATAAAAGAAACTCCCCTATACCTGAACAACACACACTCCTAGCTAACATGACCACAAATGCTCTGAGAGCCTCATGATTTAATCTACCATTTACAGTTTCACTCACCTATGTATCCAAAATTAATTAACAGTCCTAAAGAGTCTCTCTTCAATGTATCTTCTTTCTATCCCTTCCTTTCCATCCCTACTCTACTTGCCTTGGCTTAATCCTTTGTTATCTCCGGTATACACTACTGAAATAACACTTCATGCCTCCAATCTTGCTCTCTTCCAATAAATTCTGCCCATTTCTGCCAGAGTGCTCTTTATTTTTGTTTGTTCTCCCCCCCCATCATCCCCCCATACTGGGGATCGAATTCAGGACCTTGCACTTGCAAGGCAGGCACGGTGCCACTGAGCTAAATCCCCAGCCCTGTTTGTTTATTCTTAATTTTACTTAAATCACACAAATACTGCACGGTCACTGGTTAAAAAATTAGAACATACACCAGAAAAAAAAATCAGTAACTCCACCATCCAGAGATAATCTTTTGGTATATGACCTTCTTTTGGTATATTTTCTATGCATTTTAGATGCTTAAACATTAAAAAAAAATTTTTTTTTGGTATTAGGGATCGAACTCAGGACCTTGCACTTGCAAGGCAGGCACAGTGCCACTGAGCTAAATCCCCAGCCCTGTTCGTTTATTCTTAATTTTACTTAAATCACACAAATACTGCACAGTCACTGGTTAAAAAATTAGAACATACACCAGAAAAAAAAATCAGTAACTCCACCATCCAGAGATAATCTTTTGGTATATGATCTTCTTTTGGTATATTTTCTATGCATTTTAGATGCTTAAACATTAAAAAAAAAATTTTTTTGGTACTAGGGATCGAACTCAGGACCTTGCGCTTTCGAGGCAGGCAACGGAACCACTGAGCTAAATCCCCAGCCCCAAACATTTTTTGAATTTACAGATTACATACTCTACATGTTTTTCACAATATCCTTCTGCCATTTTCATTAGTAAATATAATGAACATCTCTCTGTGAAAGTAAATATACACCTATAGCATAATTTTAATAGCTGCATGGTATTCTGCTATGTGGCTATAACATGACTTTTTTTTTTGGTACTGGGGATCGAACTCGGGTCCTTGCACTTGCGCATCAAGCGGCGAAACCACTAACCTAAATCCCTGGCCCTGTAACATGACTTTTAACAGTCTCTCACTAGGACATTTAAGCTGTCTCCAATTTTTTCACTATGAGAAACAATGCTGTGATAAACATCTTTATACAAATTTCTTAATGAAGGTGTTTTATTTATGGTGATAAAATGGCTAAACCTCTCTCCCACCCACCCTATTTATCAATTTACTTTTGTTCACATACTTTCCAACACTAGGCATTATCACTCATTTTTTTTTTCCCCCCTCATTAACTTTATTGGTACATTTTAGGTATACAATACAGTTACATTCATCACTGGGATCTTGTAACCATTACATGAGTCTCTTGGTTCTTTTTTTTTTCCCCTTCCCTTTCCCTCCCTTCACCCCCTCCACCCTTCCCTATTTGCAAAGACCTTGTTTCCATTTTTTTCCTCTTCTCATAT